ATTCATACTTAAATAGAATTTATAAAACTTTGAGGTTATTTTTTCATTTTGTAGCATAAAAAAATATTTCATTATGAAGGTTACACTCTGGTTTGGAATGTCAGTTAGTGTTAAGTTGTTACGTTGGCAGCTATCTTCAATTTCCTCAAGTGTAAGTAAGACTGGACTTTTAAATACATAATAACAAATATGATATAATGTATGAGCATTCTCTCCTAAGCACTGATTTCCTACAAGAAATATGTATTTAAAATTTTCAGTTATTTGGAAGAAAATATTGATATCTCAACTTTCAATATTTGAACATTCAATATACAGCATATCATATTCATAGTTCTCACTTTTTTAATTATTAAAAATATGGTTTTTTTTGGCTATATAATCTAATATTTGAAACCTTATTTTTTCCATCTCTTCAAAATGACATTCACTTAAATGTGCTTTGGAATGGGGACAATGCAAAGTTTTATAGGTTGCAAATAGTAGGATGTTTGTTCTCTTTATATAGTTAATATATATAGGTTCTAATAAAGTTCCATAGAGAAAACCAAAACTTTTACATATAATTTGAACTTCAGTGTTTTTTAAAAATAGAAAATGGGCTACATTATTTGAATTTACAATAATTAATGATCCAATAAAGGAAGTCAAATTATGCTGTTCATCAGAAAACAAAGATTCCTTCTCTTCATTATAGAGTAAATATCTTGTGACTGGAATGTAAATATCAGTCTGTGATAGTGTAATTATTATTACCCACCTTTCCTTCTTTCCCCACAAATGGGATTTATAAAACATACATCTTCATATCCATCAAAATTTTCTGGATAACAACCTTCAACTCTTTTATTTAAATATTTGCAATTTGTAAAAGCCACAGTCTATTAAAATTTATCAAAACTAAAAACTATACAAATTATGGAATTGGAATGCTGAACTTTTTCATAAACTTTAATTGCATTTACGCCAAGTGAGTGGAATTTCTTATTCAATCTTTGACAAATAAAATCACTTGAAATGCTATATGTCTTTTTTTTACAGTTAAAATATGTAGGAAACAATCCATAGCTCTTTGATACAAATGTATATTTTGAGACAGAATAATCTAAATATAGTCTTCTTAGTGTGGTTGAATAGAATGAATAGTATGGACTTGAGCTCATCACCTTCACTTCAAAATCTAATAATGAAAATTCTTCTCAATTAATGTAAGAAAAATCATTATACTACCATTAAGATTTAGATATGTGCACTGGAAATAATGAGAAGAAATCTTTGATAAAGTAATTCTTTTTAAATAAATTGCAGATAAGTTTGAATTAAAAATGGCTGAAAATTTTCTTTCCACAATGAAACTGTTTTTTTTCAAACAGATAAATTCTGATTTTTTGCAAACTAATTCAAGACTTTCATTGAATCTTATTAATTCATAATTTTTTCCTTGACTTCTAAAGTATAAATAATACATTTTTGCTCCATTCATTTTGAATTGTCTAGCAAATATATCTGAAAGGAAATTCAATAGGATATTGCACAAAAGATTTTTAGCATTTAAAAAAACAAACATGATGGAGTTTTCTTGTAACATTTTAACAATGTACCATATAAGGCTTTTCCCTCTGAATATAAACTAAATAAAAGAAATTTATAATAGATATGTTTAGTTTTATATTATAAGCCTACAAATTGCAACATTCTGAAACATTTAAATATGCATAAATTGTAGTCTCCATATGATCATTTAACTTGTATGGATGTATGGTAGCATGAATTGAGTCATATCCCATAAGAATACATAAATCATACTTTATTTTGTCAACATTTTCGAAATTATATTTAAACCAGTATGCATCTGTCATATTTTGTTTATCTTCAACTTTTACATAGCCTTCAGCAAATATTTCATTCTCATTTGTTACATTTAAAACAACTGTTTGATGGGACGCTGAAAATAAAGAAAAAGCCAAATATGTTAATATTCCTATCATCCTCTTCTCACAAATAATTCTAGGCTAAATAGAGAAAAGGGAAAAGACAATCATTTGAAAATTAATTTATATAAAATTACAATTTTTGGCCTATTCACAATATATTTTACAGTTTTCATTAAAATTTTCTTAGAAATTAATATTGCAAAAAAAACAAAATGGAAATTTCATATGATATTTACTGGAGCAGTTTGAAAGATCAAGTTTTACTATATTTTGATAAGTAATTGAATTAATTATAATCAAAATTGTGCTTTGCATAACATGCATTAATCAGGTATGCTCCCTTTTTTATACTGATGTTAAATATGTTAACTGAAGCAATTGATTATTGTTATTAAAGTAAAATACAAGCACAATCAAATATAAAATCCCTATGTTTTCTTGATTGTTGGACTTGCCCAATAAAATGTGTTAAATCTTATGCAATTCTCCAACCTTTGAAATTTAAATGCTGTTTAGAATTAAAGATTAAATACATCAATATATTTAGAACTTTTCTTTACCCTAAAATGATACATTTTTTATAAACATTGCAATTTGTGAACTATGGACCCTTAATAGAGGATATTAACCCTACAAAATTAATAGTTTACAGTTCACTTTTCTGACCATCAGCTGGTTGCTTAAACATGATTGTTTAGAACAAGAAATTTATTCTACTCAATACGAATTCTTTGGATGAAGTACTGGTATTTTATTGTTTATACTTCTGCTGAAATTAAATTTATTAAAACTATTTGTGGATAATCTTAAAAGGTTCTATGTGGTGTGAGTAATTTGATAAATTGGTAAATGATTGGAGAGGACGAATAGTCTTGGTATTCAGCAGAAATTCCTACATTTTCTATACTACAAAGTACACAAAGAAACATTTCACTTTCTTTTTTAATACATTTTAAAAAAACATCAATTTTACAGTCAACTATGATAAGTTCTTTTTCTTAAGAATTATCTCGAAATGCTTTTGTTACAATTGTAGTGAATTAAAAATTATTTTTTCAAGAAAACAGTCAAAAAATCTTTTTGTTCAGATTCTATCCTGAGAAGCTTTCATTCCAAAAAAAATAGACAAAATTATTTTCTTTCTCAATTAAATCTTGATGTTTTCAAGAATTTTATTCATTATTTATTCTCCTATTTTCCATTAGTTGTTAGGTGTGTTTTTATTTTTTCACCTAATAAATCATATATGACATCAGTGAAGATAATTTAAAAACTTAATAATAATATAAAGGCCAAAATACAAAAAATATAAAGAAAAATTTGAATTAACCATTTGTTTTAACTGTTTCAAATTTTTCAACAGCAATTTCAACATCTTTTGCTTAAAAAATATTGAACTTTTCAAATCAAGAATATAATTGATTTGGTACTTGTTGTTATAACTTTCTAATGAGGTGATAGTAAATTCAAAATTTATGCAATTGTTTAATATGGCAGTATAACTGAGAAAAGAATTTTCCTAAAAGTTATAAGTGAGGGAGTATAGAGTAATTTGAACATCATCTGATTAAATGACTATTATGGTAAACTACAACAGGTTTTTGTTAGAGTAGTCAAATGTTAAATCAAGTTTATGTAAATAAACACTAACTGTTGTTGTCAATACATATGGATATGTAACATCTTATTTTTTTGTCTCTAAAGGGGATTGATTCTGTTTGCCCAGTACCATAACTTATCTCTATTAAGTGTAATCAGCACGGCACAATACTGGTTCAATACTACTTGTCTATTGTAGACTAGAGCTGACAAATGTATATAGACAGTCTCAATGAATATTTTGTAGTTATTGTGCAGAAAAGTTGAAAGTTAATGATATGATATGTTCAATCTATTATCTTATCTACAAAGATGATAATTACTATTTAAAACATTCATTTATTTAACATTCACCTAACTGATTTGTAAGTATTTTCAATTTAGGGATTTTGAAAGAAAAAGTAAGCAAAGCAAGAACAATGATTAAAATGAGTCATAAACTAATGAAGAGAGAGAATAACTCTTTTATAAGTGCTTGAAAAGAGGATTGAAGAAAATGTAATGATATGGTAAAAAAGTTAGGCACATATGAGAGGAATTGAATTCATTTTAGAGGGTGCAGGAGCAAATGTCCACAAACTCAAAGTGTTTTATTTCTATTTGTTTTAAAGTTCTCAATAGAACTCAAATCTTAAACACTAGTTCACAGTTTCTTATAACTCTCCATTTAGAGATATTACAGTATCCCTGGATTATCAATGGTAAAAATTGAAATAAACAAATGTTTTATCCAACATCCCAGTGAATATCAAGTATATTCACTATTAGTTACCCAAAGTAAGGAAAATCTTATAAATCTATGTGCACAAGTCTTTGTTTTATATCTTAGGCCCTTAACCATTGTTATAACAATTGTTATAACCATTTTATAGTCGTTTTTTAAAAATCAATAATTCTTCAACTAAAAATTTTGTTGGGAAAAACCATTCAAGTTATAATACTAAACATATCAAATTACAGGGAAGTAGAGAAAGTATATTTTCTAGAATCTTCCATTCAACAACCTTGTCAAATATCACTTTATAAAATATTCCAGATCAATAGCAAATTCTATCTTCCTTATCCACTATAATTTCTAAACAAGGCTAACAAACACAATGCCGAAAAGCCATTTTAGCTGAAAAATGGAGGAAAAACTAGTATGTAGAAGACTTTTACAAACTTTACACTGTCTTCCTGTTACACTTTCCGGGCTATCCAATGATTCTGGATGAAAAGCGTAAAAAAACTCAATTACATTAGCATTGCTATCTGGATTAGATGAATTTAAATGTTAACTAGTATTCTTATTAATAATTAACTACTAACAAATTAAAAACAAAGTTAATTATTAATAAGATGAGCTGCAAAAATGAATATTTTTTTGCAGTTTCTTCAAAAGACCATAGCATTTACCTTTAAATAAACTTGCTTCAATTTTTGATTTTTTTAATACTTTTAAATGTTGAGAATTATCTTCTACTAATCTTTTGAATTTGTCAATATTTATTTGAAAATTATTATGAATTGATAGAGTATACTTTTTAACATCAGTTTCCAGAGATTGAAGGCAATAAATATGATCAGATGATAGTGTTACAGTTACTTAATAGCTGATAACATTTACAGAATTGTGGAAAAGAGTGAAAACATACGAGTGTAAGCAGTTTTTTAATTCTTACAACAAGGATTGGTATTTCGTGGGGAAAAAAAATAATCTTTTGCCAGATTTTGTGTACATGTTGGCAATTGGCCACTTTCCATATTCTCTGTAGATTGGTTTGCCCAAAAGTGTACATATCTTGTAACTTCTTTGATAGTTCTCTCATTGCTCTTTTGCAAATAGCACATGGCTAAAATGAATGCTCTAATGAATTTGCTGCCATCTCTACCTCTGTAGGCTGCCTCTCCTATTTTGGAAAAATTGTAAGATCTTGAAAAGTGTTAAGTAAAGCATAAACACTGTTAGTGAATACCTTTAATAGTTGCATACATTTCATGAAATTGCTCCTTTTTTGGTGTACTTAGAGTAGAGTATTGTTGGACTGTAGAATGTGTAGGATCTGATTCATTTTCAGCAGAATTATCTTTATTTAATATTAAGTATTTAATTATTGAAAAACAGTAGATACAACATTAATATACAATATATATGTAAGTGTATTGAAACCAACCTGTTGCCTCAATTTCTATTATTTGTCTGCAAGCTTGAAAGATAAATATTTTGGGATTATTCCTGAGCAAATGAAAAGAATCAGCATCAAATTGGCTTAATAAGTCTTCAAATGATAATATATCATTATTGTCTAATAAAATACAATCATTTCCTCCATGAGCTAAAACAACTACAATTAGTGATTTAACTAAGTTGTCTTTATTTTTCTCTTCTGTCATTTTGAAATGTGTAATATTTTCCAATAATGTATTTTTATCAACATCTTTCCATTCTTCTCT